GGGGACCCAGCAGGCCGGCCTCTCCCTGTGCGCCCGGGCGGGCCCCTGTGCCCTGGCCCTCCCTCCCCCGCGCCAGCCGGCCTCTCGGCCCCTACCTGTGCCTGATAAATGCCCGCTGGATCCCTTGGTCCTAATCCCACAAAGGAACGGTTTGCAGGGGACGTGCCGGGCGTAGAGTAGGCTGCAGGGAGGAGAGAGACCGAGAGCCCGTTAGCAAGGGGGCTGCGCGGGAGCACCCAGAGAGGGTGGCCGCTGCCCAGGGCCACAGAGCGCTCAGAGCCCTCCCCGGCCGACCCGGGTCCCCAGAGAAGCCTAGCCGCGGGCCGGGGTCGTGTGGGAGGGGCGTCTGCCAGGAGCGAAGACGGCACAGGACGCAAGATTCGTAATTCAGAAACCGCCTGTGGCCTGTTCAGGGCGTTCCACTGCCTGGTCCGCCCTGCGCCCGCGGCCTGCACCCCACGCGGCCTGCACCCCAAAGCACGGGCACCATCCATCACTGAGGGTGTGTCATTGATTAATTTTCCTCCCGGAGAGGCACGCGGAAGGCTGGGTGTCTGCACCCACGTGCACACGTGAATTTATATTTTAACCTCACCGATGACATTTCGCTGGTGAGTGAATAATTTACAGCTGGGCCGTGACGGCGGGAGTCGGGGGCCTCAGACAGGCTGGGACTGGGCTGGTGGGAGGGTGCCCGCGGGTCTCACCCAGAGCGAGGAGAAGTGAGAGGCAGTGAAGACCCGGGGGCTAAGGGCGGGGGGAGCAGGCTGGACGTGTAGTTAAAAACCGGGCGCACGGAAGGAGAGGGAACCCCCGTTTATTCTGCATCTACTGAGTACGTACTGCATGCTGGCACTGGCGTCATCCCGTTTAGCCCTCGGTGGCCTCAGCGAAGCCGACATAACTAGTCCCCCATCTCGCAGAGAAAGCAGGTGGTCTGCGGTCCCCAGCCCCGCGCCTGACGCCTCCCTGAACGTGATCCCTGACCTACTTTGCCGCTCTACGCGTCTGGCACTGTGATTGTCCCATTTTTTTTGGCTCAGAAAACAGGCTCAGAGAGGGGAGGACATTTGCCCAAGGTCACACAGGCAGCGAGCTGCAGAGGCCGGATCCACACTCAGCATCCCGCACTCATCTGTGTTCGGACAGAACCCGGACAGAACCCGTCCGCTGGTACCTAAAGCGGCCCTGGGTCTCGGCAGGGATGCCCGAGGCTTGGGGGAGGGAACGTCGGGGGCGGGGGGTGCCCGTGCAGGGAAAAAGGCCCATGGCCCGGGGGGAACTGCTGGTCCCTCCCGCTTGGGGGGGTCAGGAACCTCATTTGGGGAGCGAAGGAGAGACACTCAAAAAGGCGGTCGGGGGCAGAACGAGGTGGAGGGGAGTAGCCTGAGAGTCTGCCCAGGGCCCCCCACTGGGGCGGCTCAGCCTGAGAGGAGGCAGGGCGGGTGCTCCAGGTACTGGGCACTGGGAGGACAGTAGGCTCTGTGGGCCTCAGGGACGCAGCCTGGTGAAGGTCGAGCGGCCCACGAAGTCTGCTCTGGGGTCCAGGGAGAGGCTGGGTGCAGAGCCCGTGCTGAAGGGGTGGACCCCAGGACAGGGGCTCGCGAGCTGTAATCGGGAGCCACGTCCAGAGAGTGGGAGGGTCTGGGAGGTGAGGAGACAACCCAGGGCCTTCTGGGGTCAGGCACTTGGGGACTGTCCCATCGACAGGGCCAGGTCACTGGCGAGAACAGGGCCTGTTGTGGCAGGTTCTGCCCAAGAACTGAGAACTCTGAAATTATCACATGAAATGTCGCGATTTTAACACCGCAACAACAGACTCTCACCTTCCACACAGGGCACCCGGGGGTCTGGCCTTTGGGCCCCGGCGGAGACCTTCACCTGCTGTGCCCGCTGTTCCCGTGGGGGAGGAGGGCTCAGGGCCCAGAGCGGGCACACGGTGACTCTGGGCCACTTGGCCGAGGGGGCAGACTGCAGACTTGCCCCTGCTGCTCCCTAAGGCTGCCCTGACCCATACAGGCCAGGCCCTGTGGCACCCCCAGGCCTGTCTGTGGACACACCAAACTCGCCGGCACCCGCCAGGTCCCAGCAGTCGGGGAGGGGAGTGGGGGGCCCACGGGCACCGCTTCCCCGAGTGCTTACAGGGCGAGGTCGGCGACGTGCTTCCTCCCTCGGAGGTGGGTTTGGTGACAGGGGGGAGCGCCAGCCTCGGCAGCCCGGGGGGCGGGGGTGCCAGCATCTGAGCAGAAAGGCAGTGACTGGACATTTTGAGCTGACCACTTCCATTTAACTGGGGGGAACAGAGAGACAGGTGGTTAAGGCGGCGGCACCCCCTCCGCCTCGGGCTGCCGTCCTCAGCCCTGCCGGGTGGGGGACAAGGCTGGCGTGGCCGGACGAGTTTGGTGGGTCCCGCAGGCCCACAGGCCTCCAGCGTCCTGGGGCCATGCGCCCTCCCTCTCAAGCCGCCTGGTACCGCTGGCTTTCCTGCCCCACGAGGCCCAGACGCCCGGGGTGGCCTCACGGCCGTATGCCTCTCCTCGCTTGTCACCAGGACCTACCATCCACCGCCACGCTCACGGTCCCAAAACCGGAAAAGCTCTGACCACTGGACGCTCTGCGTGGATGCCTGGCGAAAGCCAGCCTGGCCGCGGCCGTGGCCCGCGTCTGATCTCACAGAACTTTGTAAAGCACACGCGTCCACGCTCACATCTGAGAAAGGCCGGGGGACCCCCGCCGCTCACAGCTCCGTTTCAACTCGAGGATGCACGCAGGGCCGCCGGCCCGCGAGGTCACGTGCGGCTGTGTGCTGGCAGGCTGCCCACACTCACCGGTCCAGGCTGCTGGCTGGCTGGGTCGCAGGCCAGCGAGACGAGATCTTTGAGCGGGTCCTGCGGGTTGAGGTGAGGTGGGTAGCGGATGGCCGTGTGTGGGAAGTAGGTGGAGGCCGTCTGCGGCAGGATGGAGGTCGTGGGGAAGTGCAGGGCGGAGGACGGGTGAGGGCTCCGGGCGATCCCTGTGGACAGGGGACAGGGCGGTCACCGTGGGCTCTGGCTCGTTCGCTCCGCTGGGCCAGGCCTTGCCATTCGCACGCCCGAGCTGGGGGCTTTCAGGGCAAACCCTCGAGGTTCCTGTGTCATCCCTGCGTTTTAAAACCTTTTTTAACAGAGAATGACCTGGTGGCTCTCAGAGGTTATGCCTCTGCCCCATGCCACACGGCAAGGTCCGAGCCCAGGTCACCTGGCCCCAGCCTAACCGTGGGCTCGGCTAGCTCCTTCTGTAAAGGACAGGGTAGTCAATGTGTTTTTTTAATCGAGATATAATTGGCATCCTGCAAAATTCACCTATTTAAAGTATGTAATTCGACGGTGTTTGGCACGTTCACAGACGGTGCAACCATCCCTACGACCTCTTCTGGGAAATTTTCGCCATCCTAAAAAGAATCCCCGTCCCCATCGGCAGTCCCTCCCCAACCCCCTCTCCAGCCCCTGGTACCCACGAAACCCACTGTGTCCCTGTGGGCGTGCCTGTTCTGGACGTGTCACATACAACATGGCACCACACGCTGTGTGGCCTTGTGCGTCTGGCTTCCCTCAGTGAGAGCCGTGTGTTCAAGGTCCATCCATGTTGTAGCACCTCGTGCCTTTTCATGACCGAATAATATTTCATTGTATTTGCTTTTTTTCCCTTGTTCTAAACAATTCAGTGGGTTTTATTATATCCGCTCTCTAATTCCAGAACGTTTTTATCACCTCGAAAAGAAGCCTTGTGCCCGTTGGTGGTCACTCCCCCTCCCTCTCTCTCTCCAGCCCCTGGCCAGATAGGAAACGTTTTCGGCTTTTTGGGGCCACGTGGTCTCTGTCGCAGCCACTCGACTCTGCCACCCTGGCCTGATCGCCACCACTGATGACATGCGAATGAAGGGTGTGGCAGTGGGTCAATAAAACATTATTTACGAGAACAGGCGCTGTGGGCCCTGGATTGCCACCCGCTGGTCTAAGCCACTGGGTTGATTTCTGCCCGTTGCCCTGTACGCGTCTGCCCTTGTATGGAACTAAGTCGTTATCATCGTGACAGTGGGGTAGCAGGTGATATTCCAGAGCTTTCCAGGACTTAACTCATTCAGTCCTAATGTCAGCCCTGGCGGGGGTGGGGTGAGCCCCCACTGACAGACGAGCAAAGGGAGGGCCAGGCACGGAGTGACCAGCGTGGCTCACATGCCGTGGTTGCTGACCTCTGTTTCCCTGCGCTGTGAGCGTGACACTTCCTGGCTGTGTGGCCGGGAGCATCCCCGTGTCACCCGCGTGGCCTGTGTGTGTCCGGCCACGCGCTGGGCGCGTCCACCCCCTTCTGTGACCGCCTGACACTGTCGTCTGAGGACTGTGGCATAAAAGGCACAGGCTGCACCTCTTTCTCATGCCAAAGGGGAAACTGAGGCCCAGAGAGACAGTCAGGCCTGGGAGCCCCCGGGAGGCTACAGCGGCAGAGGCCGCCCCGCCCGCCCGCCTGGCCCGGCGCTCACCGCTGTGCACGGCGATGACCGGCCGGTGGTGCTGGGTGAAGCTGGAGAGGCGCGGTGAGTCCTGGGGCGACGGGCTGTTGAAAGGCGACTTGTCCACCTCCGTCTTCTTCACCGGGGACGAGATGCCTGTGTGGGAAGCGCGGGGGGCCGCAGGGCTCGGCACGGCAGCTCTGCTCCCAGGCCCACCCCCCTCCTCGCCCCTCTTTTCTCCAGGAGCCCATGGGCGAGGGGCCAGGGGACCCATTTTACAGACGGAGCAAACTGAGGCTCAGAGCAGGGAGGGGGCGCTGCTCGGGGTCCGTGGCCCTGGTGTCCCCAACCCAGCCAGCCCCCAGCCTTCTCTCCTCCCAGAGACAGGCCCCCCCGGGGGCACACCTGAGCCCCGGAGAAGGCAGAAGGGCGAGCCGAGAGGACGCCACAGCCCCCGAGCAGCGGCGTGCGCGTCCCCACGTCCTCGCCAGGAAGGGACCCTTCCGTGCAGGACCAGCGCGAGGCTTACGTGAGCTACGACGCGTGAAGCCAGCAGACCAGGGCCTGGCACACGGCCGCCCGCTGGAACCGCTTGCTAACTGTCATGCCCCTGGCCGTGGGAAACTCTGACAGCTCAGCCCCTCACCCCTCACCCCCGAGAGAGTGGATGGTGAAACGTGAACGCACAGGGAATCTATGGAGACCCTGGCGCAGAGCAAACGCCGGCTCAGGAAGGACCGCTGTCAGCGTGACGCAGAGGGCGGACCACTCCAGTGCCGGGCACGCGCCAGCCCTGAGGAGCCTTGCGTGCCCCTGGCCCTCCGCCTGCACCCCCACTTCTGCCGCCCTCTGGATGTGAGAGCTGCCGATGGCGGTGTGCCCCCCAAAATGCAGAGCCCGGGGCCCGGCTCCATGTCTGGAGCCGGACTCTCAGGGAGGTGGAGCCGGAGGGGGACGTGCTTAGAAACTATTTTTAAATTTATCTGGGCGTGAAATGCACCCACTGAGACCATGGCGAGGGGTCTGACTTTCCTGCAACCCAGCACGAGGTCCCCTGCTCCGGGGTTCTCCTCCATCATGGCTGTCCCGGGCACTGTGCAGGGCTGAATGGCATCCTTGGCTCCCACCCACTCGATGCCAGGAGACCCCGTGACAACCACAGATGTCCCCGGATGTGGCCGTGTCCCCTGTGGGCAGAGTCGCCCCGGTGAGAAACCCTGCCGTCCTCTGAGGCATGCTGTCGCTGCTCCTGGGGTCTGTCCCCGTGCTTCCGAGGGCGGGCATCTGTCTGCACGTGTCCCCCAGCCCTGTCCCCTTCCTCTCGTGGCATTTCCATACGGGGAGATTGCTGTCCTCTCTAACAGCACAGCTTGGGGTGAACCAGATCTGGGGACCAGGCACCCCGATGGCCACTCAGGCTGTCAAGTGCCTTCGCTGTTACACAGCCCGCTGCCCTCAGCGGCCCTGAGGACATGCCGAGCTGTGTGAGGGAGCGTGTCCTGGCACGTGGGTCGCTGGCCTTTCCCCAGGACCAAGGGCTGTGGGCTGAGGAGGCGGCTGGCCCCGTAGGCTCTGCGTGTGCGTGTGCGCACGCAGTGTGTGTGCTGGGGGTGCTGTGGCAGACAGGTTAGGGCTGTCAGACCCTCGCCCGGGGGGAGTTCCCAGATCGGCCTGCCCTGGATGGAAATAGCCTGCTGCGGCCCGTGGAGGGGCAGGCGGAGAAGCAGGCGGCGGGGGAGCCGGTGCATGTGCTGCCTGTGGCACCCCTCAGTGCTCCCGGGCAGGCTCCGGAGGGCCCTAAGCCCACAGCCGCAGCTGGGGGGTCCCGTCTGTTCAGCAAACAGGCCTGTACTGCCCACATCTGAGCCTCAGCCGCCCGGTCCAGTTAACAAATGCCCGTACGGTCCCCATCCAAGCCACTGCCTCTCCATGTAACCTGTAGCGTCCCTCACCTGAGCGGCCACTTTTCTCCCAACACACACATGTAAAGGCCCGCCGCACCCAAGCAGGCTGTCTGTCCCCGTCGGAGGGTGCACCTTCATGACACATGTGCCTGTCACGAACACTGTGCCTGTCACGAACACGTGTGCCTGTCATGAACACGTGCGCCTGTCATGAACGCACGTGCCTCTCACGAACACTGTGTCTGTCACGAACACACGTGCCTGTCACGAACAAGTGTGCCTGTCACGAACGCACGTGCCTGTCATGAACACTGTGCCTGTAGGTCCTCACTGGTGTTCACCTTCACGAACACACGTGCCTATCACAAACATAAGCCACTGGGTTGAACACGTGTGCCTGTCACGAACACGTGTGCCTGTCACAAACACTGTGCCTGTCACGAACACATGTGCCTGTCACGAACACGTGTGCCTATCATGAACACACGTGTCTGTCAGGAACACGTGTGCCTATCATGAACACATGTGTCTGTCACGAACACGTGTGCATATCGGTCCCCGTCGGAGCACATGCTCTTCAGTGACCAAGCAGGCCCGTGTATCTCTCATCTGAGCGCCCACCACGCGCAGGACAAACAAGGCTGTCACCCACCAGAATGCCGGCTCCACCGGGCTGGGGTCGGCTCTCGCTGACCGCTGTGTCTCCGGGGCCCCAGAGCTCAGGGTCAAGGTGACTGTGTGGTGAACGGGAGTGGGGCTTGGTTCTACTGAGACCGGCACCCGCTCTGCGGTAAGGCCACCCCTCGGCACTGCGGACACTGGGCTGGGTCACTCCTGTGGGGCAGCATCCCTGCCCAGCCCCTCAATGCCAGGAGCCTCCCATCACGACAACCACAGATGTCCCCAGACACGGCCCCATGGTCCCCACTGAAGACCCCTACGAGGTCTTGGGCAGAGCGCTCAGAGCCTGCTCCCACATCACCCTCACAGCCGCCCACCCGATGCAGGGCTAACGGGAGCCACCCCCACTTCACAGATGTGAAGACTGAGGCCCGAGGAAAGAAGTCACTTGCTGGAGGCCACAGAGTCAGCAAGCGGTGGGCTGGGATTCAGACCCAACTCTAACTCCACAGGCCACGGTCTGCCACCCTGTCCTGCCTGCAAGTTCAAACAGAAAGGGGAGCCCCAGGGGACAGAGAAGGGAAATGGGGTTGCCCGCTTCACCCAGGTGACCCGTCTATGTGTGGGGCACACGTCCCCGGCGGGAGGGCCGCAGAAGCAACAGAAACAAAGCACCCTGGGAGCTAAACAGAAGGTGTCCTCTTTCTGCCCTGCTTGGATGGGCAATCTGGGAAGGCCTCCGGAGGTGGTCAGGAGGAGAAAGGGCACGGAGCGGGCGAAGGCCTGGAAGCTGGCTCACGGGGCCTGAGAGGTGTGGCTGCAGGGGTCTGGCCCGGGTGGGGCTGGCAGACTGTGGTGCTGGGGTGGGGGGTAACTAAGGGCTGCCCGAAGGAGCCAATACAGAGGAAGGGAGAGAGTGCTCTAATCAGCTTAACCCCCTTAATGAGCAGCTAATTGGGGGCTGTCTAGACAGGAAGCTGGGGGAGGCCAGGAGGAGGTGGGGCGGGGGAGGAAGAGGAGGAGACAAGAATCCATCTCCCCTAGGCTTCTAGCACCTATGGGGCAGGGGCGGCCTTCACTGCCGTTTACTGAGGTTCCCAGAGGAGGGTGAGTTTGTCATCGGTGGAGGCAACCAATGGCAGACAGCGGGGGACAGACCCCCTGTGCCACCCACTTCCGGCTCTGAGCGGGTTCCTCCTTGTCCCCTCATCACTGCCATTCAGGGCGGGCAGGTCACGCCAAGCCCCAGCCACCCCAGCGACTCGCTCTAACCTCTCCTTCCTTGTAAAAGTTTGTTTTTCTTTTTTTGGGCTTCCTGAGTTGAAAGCTTGGTTTTTTTATTTCCAACTTTTTTCCTAATCGATAGACTTAGGGCTATAATTGTCCCTCTCAGGGATGCTGCGGCTACATCTCGGAGGCTGTCTTTCAGCTCTAAGTGGTATACACTTTACGTGCAGGCAGCCTCTTTAATCATAGTCAGCGAGATGTGCTTTTGAGTTCCCGATCAGTAAATGAGAGAGCAGAAGTCTCCCAATATCCACTCTACTCTTCTTCAGTAGCAAAACCCGTAAATTTGAGACGTACACACAACTGCCCCAAGTAAGACTACAGTTCCCGGTGTCCCCTGCAGCACACAGTACGGCCACATTACTAGCTCAGGGACACAAAGATAAACAGAACAGGTAAGTGCATCTTCCGAAAATTATTCTTAAAGGGAGAGGACATGCCTAGATTTGACCCTTCTTTCTTGCTGGCTGGAATGCAGACATGATGGCTAGAGCGTCAGCAGTTATCTTGGACCATGAGGTGGGAATGAAAACCACATTCGGTGGAGCATAAGGCAGGAGCCCAAGTCCCTCACATCACACACCTGCCCAGGGCTGCTGATGGCTGGCCATTTACTGGTGAGAGAAATGTACCGTCTGTTTGGGTTGTCCGTTTCTCACGATCAAACTTAAACTTTACTGAATACAAGGTCTTTATAGAGACAAACCTGACAGAGATGAGGAACCCACAAAGACAGAACCATAGAGACACTCTGACCCCTAAATTAGAGCCTAATAAATACAGAGACAGGTCCTCCCAGAGTTAGGTACCTGCTCTGGAAGCCACACCATACAAGAGGGAGGACCCTGGGGACATCAACTGTCACGACCAGATGTGTTAGACACCAATTCGGAGATGGGAATTTTATAGACGTGAGCGACAATAAACTCTCCTGTTTCCTGGGCACTTACATGTGCCAGACTGTTGCTTTACACACATTGTATCATTTCCTCCTTCCGATTTTCTTAAAGAAGAGTTATCTCATTACTCCCATTTTGGAGATGAAAAAACCAAGGGTCAGAGAAGTTAAGTCACCTGCCCAAGATTACACAGCCCACACAGTGAGCCAAGGGCAGAGCTGGGATTCAAACCCACGTCTCTCTGATGCTTGAACCTGCCCTCTTCATTGTAATGGTTTGTTGCTTTTCGAGAACCCTGTAGGCATGGCACTTTGCGTAGACAGATCTTTAAAAGAAAGCAGGCTCTACAGGCATAGGAAGGAGGGAGAGAGGAGGGGAGGAGAAAACAAATCTCAAGGTTTACTGGGTGCTTATTACGCACCAGACCTGCTTTAGGGACATTGGATGTATTAATTAACTTAATTCCCAGAACAACTTATGAGATGGGTACTGCGGATATTAACATCCCTATTTCACAGATGAGAAAACAGGCTCGGAGAGGTGGAGTCACCAGGAAGCTCTAAGGGCTGGTGGACTCGAGTCTGCGTTTGTCACCATGAGGTTATTCTGTGGGCTGAACCCTGGACAATGGATAAGGGATTAGATAAAACGATGCTCCTAAAATCGGGGGTGGGGGGGGGGAGGCACGGTCCCTGCAGAGAATCTGAGGAAGGATGAGAACACCCTCCCCAGTGTAACATAAGCCTTTGTGCCACTTTGCACACTATTTGCGGACAGTCGTAGATGCCAGCCCTCTAGAGAGCAGAACCTTAAGGCTAAAGAGACTCTTTGGATGAAAACCGAGGTGGAGATGGAGATCCCAAAGAAGGGAAATCTTTGGAGAAAATCTTTAAGAAGACGAAGAATCCCTAGGAGGTAGCGCTCAACAAGACAGGGACCCTACGGAAATGCTGACACTACAGAATCCGGAGAGAATCCCCTGTGAACCAAGAGCAACAAACCAAAATCCTCCCGGGCAGGGCCCTGTGAGAAAGACACGGGGCTCCCACGGAACTGGAATCGCACGAGGTTAAGATCCCACGGATAATACAGAACTCTAAGGAGGACCCCAGTGAGCAGGGATTCTGTAGATCAGGATCCTCCCCCTACCCCGCCCCTCGAGACCGGCCCCTAAGAGGAGAGGGCGGGGAAGTCGGGCCGGGCAGAGAGCCCGCCCTCCCCGGCCGGAGCGGAACCAAATAGCTCCCGGAACGCGAGTCAGGACTTGACTTCCAACCGCACGCAGCCCGCAGGACCACAACTCCCAGGAAGCCTCGCGGCTCCAGGCCCGCATCCCGTTCCCCGGCGCCCGCGCAGTGCCTGCCGGAAATCGTAGTCCCCGCCGCCAGCCCCACCTCCTTCCATGTCCTCCGTCCAGTTTCGGCTGCTACTCGTGGGAGAGCTGGGGGAAGTGTAGTAATCGCCGCCGGGGCTCGTGTCCACGTCTTCCTCCATCGAGCCCGATTTGTGCCGCTTGCTCCTAAGGGGCGAGGGGAAAAGAGCGCAGGCCGGTTACCACGGAGACGCGGGCCGTGGCGGCGGGCGGTGCTAACTTCCGGTCCTAGGGGGCGGGGCGAGGAGGGTGCTCTCGCGAGACGTCACGGAAGCCGCGCACTTTCAGCCAGTTTTGTTGACACCTGTTTCAACCTGGCCATTGCTAGGATGGGACCCCTGGGACCAGAGGCGGGGAGGGGCGCAGCCCAGGTCACACAGAGTGCAGACTAAAGCCCCGAAAGCCTGGCTGGTCACTTGGCTACTGTAATCCTCAGGGCACCCCGGTAGGATTACGACCCCATTTCACCGGTGAGAGAACCGAGGCAAACACGACGTGACCAGCTGAAGGTCACACAGTCAGCAAGAACCAGTGTCTTCATTTCTATGGAGTCTCCAGGGCTGGGCCTGTAGGACTCGAGCCGAGAGCGGGGTGTCAGGGCAGGGGAAAGAGGCACTTGGGGCTGAGTTTTGAAGGATGAGTAGGAATTTCCCAAGTGCACCGTGAAAACTGGCATTCCAGGAAGAGGAATGAATCGGCTGGGGCCGGAAGGAGGTGGGCGAGGGGTCGTGAAAGGCCCAGAGGTGGGGACCCGGCCACATACCCACTGGAGGAAGTACTGGGTAGCGTTCTTCTCATGCCGGTGCTGGCTGGATTCAGGTCGTACGCCAGATGCCCCTGCAGCTCCCCCAGGGAGAAGTTGGGTCCTGTTCCTGTCACCACAGGTGCTGTAGAGGATGACAGAGAGGAGAATGAGGGAGAGGGCAAGTTTCAGGGTGGCCGTTTGCCCTGGAGGAGTGGGGAGAGCTGTCTGGGGGCAGGCAGTTGCAAGGAGAACCCCTTCCCAAATGGCCTGGTTCCTAATTTGGCTGAAACTGGCTTTATTTTGTGGATCAGAAGACCGAGGCCATCAGGATAGGCCAAGGTCACGCTGTGAGGCAGAGGCAGGGCCAGAGCTGGAGGCCGAGCTTCCCAGTACTCCGGGAGGCCAGGTTCTGCTGGGAGGGTGATGGTCAGGGTTAAGCAGAACTCTCTGGGGGGTACACACGGGGGTGTCTGAGGGAGTGGAGTGGGTCCCCAGTAGCTTCACAGGGAAGGCAAAGGGACAGGAAGCAAAGTGGGCAGGGGAGGTGGGGCCCTCTGGGATCCCCTCTTGGGACAGGGTGGGGGGGGCCCCAGGAAGGAGGGGTGCTGAGCAAAGGTTCTTCAGCCCCTCCACCCAGCATCTGGAGTCTGTTTCCTGGGGAGGAGCGTGTCACCCTGACCTTGGGCTGCTCCTAGGATACTTCCCTTCCTAGGAACCTTGGTTTGGTGAAGGGAGGTGGCTGGAGGGGGCCAAGGGGGAGGGGTGATGGCTTCCTCCCTCCTCCCTGAGCCCCTTTCCTCTCTCTGAGGCCACCTCCTTCTTGGAACCTCTGTCCTGAAGCCTCTCTCCTCTCCAGTGGCCTTTCCCCTGTATGAGCTCTGCCCCACTCTGGGTCCCAGCCCAGAGTAGGTGAGGACACTCACTCCGGGACACTTGGATGAGCTCGGTGACGCTGAACACACCAGAGGTGACGAAGCTCTCCTGGAAGTCGGTCGTGTCTGGAACGAGGAGAGAATGGGGGTCAGCGGATCTGTCTTCCTCCTCGACACCCTGGAGCTGCTCAGACCCCGGGGGTTGGACCCAGCCTGGCCAGTGACCCCATCTACACCCTGCAGCCCTGCAGTGGGAGACTGGCCAGCTACACCCTCCGGTCCATTGAGGGAGTCCCTGCGCCCTCACACAGCGGGAGCGGAGTCCTTAGTATCCTCAGCCAGACTCCCTTCTCTGGGGCTAGGTGGGCCCCATATCTAGCCTCGCCGTCACCCAGGGATTCCCACGCTGCAGCAGGCTGCAAATGGGCTGGACCTGGTTCCAAATCTTGGCTCGACTGACCACTCGGCTGTGATTTTGGGCAAATCCCTTCCCTTCCCTGAGCCTCGATGCTCTCTAATCTCTAAAATGGGGATCATACACCCTGTCGTCTGGGCAGTTTGTGACACGAAGCAAACTACCTGGGAGGGGCAGGCTTGCTTCCTCTGCATCACCCATCACCCCAGGCAACGCTGGCGTTTTGCACCAGGCTCCCTCCAGACTGGGAGCTCCATGGAGGCAGGGATGTCTCTGCCCAGGCCCAGCCGTGTCCCCCGTGCCTAGACCAGGGCCTGGCGACAGGCTCAGAACCACAGGCGGAATGGAGGCTCCGCAGGTGGAAGTTCAAGTCTTATGCCCTCGGAGCCACTCCTGCCTAATGTCAAAGAGAGAGGGACCTTCTCTTCTGGGTTGGGGTGGTTTGCGGCACGATTCACAACAGCCCAAACTGGAAACAGCGCATGTGTCCGTCAGTGGGTGAACAGATACACACAACGTGGTCCATCCACATGCTGGACTATTACCTGGCCATGAAAAGGAGTGAAGCCCTGACATCGTTACAATGTGGACAGACCCCTGAACACACGATGCTCAGCTAGAGAAGCCAGACACGAGAGGCCACGTGGTTGTGATCCCACTTACGTGACATGTCCAGAACAGGCACATCCACAGAGACAGAGAGAGCGTTTGTGGTTGCCAGGGGCTGGGGAGGGGAATGGGGAGTGGGCTGGGGAATGACTGCTGATGGGCATGGGGTTTCTTTGGGGGTGATGGAATGTTCTGGAATTAGTGGCGATGGTTGCGCAACATCATGCATGTACTTAATGCCACTGAATTTTACATTTCAATATGGTTAAAATGATAAATTTTACCTTATGTTTATTTTATCATAATACGAAAACCTTTAAATATCCTTAAGGCTAAGATGAAGTGTGTCAGGCAGGGGTGAGGCGGGCAGGGTTGGGGGAGCCTGCGGGGAAGGGGGCCTGTCTTATACAGAGAAGGCCTCACTGAGGGGAACATTTTACTGAGACCTCAGGGAACCGGGGGACAATGGGAATACATGAGTTAAAATGTGGCACTGTGTGGGCTGCTCTGATCAGGATGATCTTAAATGTGACGTTTGCCACCTCCCTGGGAGCCTCAAAGTTCGCAGCAGCAAGTGGCCTGTGCAGAGGCCGAGGCTGGAACACACTTGGCGGGTTGGAGGCCAACCGGGCTGGGGTGGGAGGAGCCAGGGACAGTGGTCAGAGGTGATGGGACAGGCAGGCAGGCATCTCTGGGTTTCGGGGACGGTATGTGCAGGCAGCAGTTCTTCTCTCGGCCCCCAGGGGGCAGCACGGGCCACAGGGCGCTCAAGGCCTTGCTCAGGACCCCAGCTGTCTGAGACCTTGGACAGTCCCTGAACCCTAGCCTCCCTGGGTATGAGCTTCGTGCCCACCATTTACTGAGCACCTACTATCTGCCCGGGCTTATGCGAGGAGGCTCAGGGCCAAACATCTCGGGAGGACAGGGCGGTGGCCTCCCAGTGTCCAGGGGAAGTGGCCGTGGCTGCTTCCTGCCGACCCAGCTGGCCAGCTGGTGTCAGCACGCCCCCCTCCCTGCCCCCACCGGGGTTTCCTGTTTGTGCGGCGCTAGCCCAGCTCCATCTCCAGGGGACTCCCTGGCGGGCGGGGCGGAAGTGATTTCCTGCAGCAGACGCTGGAGCTCCCCGCAGGGCCGGTCCAGCGATGCTGCCCCCGCCGGCCCTCAACATCTGGCTTGGAGGGAGGCGTCTGGGGATCTCAGGAGACCACGGAGGATGAGGGGTCACAGGCGGCTAGTGACGCGCGGTCTGGGGGCCTGTGAACCTTCCGGAACCAGCTGGCCTCCCAGGGCACGGCTGCGCTGGCCCATCCAACGGATGCCCTCACACACCCGCTACCCTTCCTTCCTCTCCTTTTCATCTCGTCCTTCCTCTCTCTCTCTCCCTCTCTCTCTCTGTCTCTCTCTCTCTCTCTCTGTCTCTCTCCCCCTCCACACCCACCCCGTATCATCTCTCTAGTTCCTCTTTTTCTATCTGCTTCGTTCCTCCCTCCTTTATCTCTACAAATATTTAGTGAGCACCGACTCTGTACCAGGTCCTACTGTAGGCCTCGAGGACACAGTGATGGGGGCAGTTAGAAAAACCTCTGCCCTCGAGGAGGTGACACTCCATTAGGAGAGATGAGCAGACAGGCCTGAGAGCAGGAACTCCCGAGGAAATAAAACAGGGCGGTGTTTAATCGAGAGTGGCTGAGGCTGCTCCAGCCCAGGGGCTCTGGGAAACTCTGAGAGGCGGGCGTTTGAGCTGAGAGCTGGGAGATCTAGCGAGGGAGAGCAGGGGGCTGTCCGGGCAGAGGGCACAGCCTGTGCAAAGGCCCTGGGGCGGGACCGAGCCTGGCGTGTCGGAGGAACAGCGAGGAGGCCCGTGTGGCTGGAGTGGCGTGAGCGAGGGGGAGGACAGGAGGGCAGGGAGGGGGCGGGGCAGGTCGCCCAGGGTCTCGTGGGTCGTGGGTCGTGGGGAAGACTTGGGCTTTTACCCCAAGGGAGGCGGGCGCCCTAGAGGGTGGTGGACAGAGGAAGGGCCAGACCTCACTCGGGTGCTCACGGGAGCCCTCTGGCCACTTCAGAGAGGACAGATGTTGGGGGGGTCAGGATCCAGGGGGGATCAGGGCAGAAGCAGCTTCCCAATTCTTTCTGTCTTCTGGGGCTCCACTCCCAGCCCTGCTTCAGGCAAATTCGTGCGCTTTCTCCCCCCAACCCCCGCCACATAGAGCTGACTTATCTTACTCACTGAATGTTGCATGGGATTGTGGGGCCCTCCGGGGCCTCGCCTGAGGGCTGAGTCCCTAGGAGCCCAACCTCTGGGAGCTCAGTTGTGGGTTCCAACCCCAGCTCCCTGGGTGGCCCTGGGCAGACCCCTTAACCTCTCTGAGCCTCAGTTTCCTCATCTGCAAAGTGGAACCACCCAGCACCTACCCCATAGCACGGCTGTTTTTTTTGTGTGAAGCGTGCACGGAGGGCCACACAGGGCACAAAGGGGGGTGCCCGGAAAGGGGGGCCAGGGCCGTGCCCTCCACCCCGCGCCGTGCCTGGACTCACCCAGTGTGATGGGCTTGCTGTCCTCCTGGTCAGAGCCCATCCCTGCCCGGGGACTGCCGCTCTGCTCCGCGTCTGCAAAGACAGAGAGGAGGAGTTGGAGCCACTGCAGGGACCCCCGCCCCGGGGGAGAGGATGGCTCCTGAACGCGCGAGGCCCGGAGTCTCTGCTTGGCCCCCTCCCTCGGGTGCTGCCCCAGAAGGTCATGGACGTGCAGGGGCTGCCTCGGCCGTAGGTCTGAGCTCTTCCCCCTCCCCTCCGAGCCTCAGTTTCCTTATCTGCGAAACAGGGCAGCTTATTTAATCCTGCCTCCGCTCTCGAAGGTGGTGCTATCGTGCCCACCTCACAGACGGGGAAACTGAGGGCCAGAAGTGAGTCCTTGAGCCCTCAGGCCCCTCCCCTCAGCCTCTGCCTTGAAGTCTGAGGGTTCAGCCTTTGGTCTCGGGCTGCCACTAAGGGCGCCCAAAGAGGGGGCCGATGCCTGGGCTCCCTCCCGCACAGGCGCCCGCCCCTCCATCTTATCTAAAAATAATCAGGCTCCTTGGCAGACGGACACAGTAGACAGACGCTGAGCTCAGCGTTACCGGCTCTGGCGGCCTGGCTGGGGGGCCATCATGCCAGCTCCGTCTGCCGTACCCACATCCACAGGGCTGAGCCCCGCCTGGCAGCACCCCCGGACCCGGCCATCTATCTGTCTGTCAGGTCAAAGAGGAAGGTGGTGGTGATCGATCACTATCCGACACCAGCGAGAGAGAGATCAGCGCCCCTCACCCGCCACACCCCAACGCCGGGAGCGTGGCTGGGCAGCATCGGGCGGGTCACTTAACTGTGCTGAGCTGCAGTTTGCTCCTCTCTCGAGTGGGCGTGAGCATCGCCCGGGCCTGACCAGGCTGCCAGGAGGTGGCAGGGAGGCGATGCGTGCGAAGCGCGTCGGGCACACGTGGCAATGTCCATCCCATGACTACGGTTAGTGTCACTTTCAAACCTCTAAGACGGCTGCACATATGGCGCGTTCCTGTTCCCATTTCGGAGGTCCCCTTAAATCCTTAAGATAGCCACAAAGCTGGCATGATTACTGTACCGATTTTATAGGCGAGGAAGACCGAGGGTTAGACTGATGAAAAGTGCCCGCCCCACGCCAGCTGTGCTGTTATGAGGGTCACGGCTGACACCCCTAACGTGGAGGTTAGTAGCGCCGATGCCCCATACCGGCGACAATCCTTCTACGATCTGACTCCCCAAAACTTAACTGAGAGCTGTCGAGCAGAGGCCTTACTGATAAACGTAACCAGCCAATTAATCCGTATTTTGTCCATTGTATGGATTATGTACTGCATTCTTACAATACAGTAAGCTAGAGAAGAAAAAGGTTAATCAGAAAATCACGAGAAAGAGAAAATACAGTTACAATGTTTACTGGAAAAAAAAATCCACATGTAAGCGGACCCGCAAAGTCCAAACCCGTGTTGCTGGGGGGTGGGCTGCGTTCCGTGTGGGCAGCCGGACCTCCAGCTCCCTGCACGTGCGTGAGCCATCGGACTTCTGGGATCGACGCGACGCCTGAGCTTCCAGCCAGCTGGGAGCCTCAGAGGACGTGTGGTCATGGGGAGGTCACTTCCTCTCTGGGGGCCTCGGTTCCCTCGAGGTTGTCATGGGGATCATAACGATGACACTTCCTAAAACAGTCATGAGCCCTTGCTTTTTGCCTGGCACGGTGCTAGGGGCTTTGCACACACACTGTGTGTTGCACACATTCTGGCTGCCGAGGTTGAGTGTGTCATAAACAACAGCACAGGAGTGGGGCGCGTGCAAGGCCCCGAGCTTCCGTTTCATGTCCAGGAGCGGATGGGGGCAGCCCCCCGCTTGACTTGGTTTTGCAGCCGCAGCCGTGGGCAGCCGGGCTGGGCATGGCTGGGCAGCGGCCAGGGGGAGTATGCCCGGCTCGGCCCCGAGCCCTGTGGCCGTTCCCAGGCTGGGCAGCCGGCAGCCCCTCCAAGTCGGCCAGTCCCGCTTGGACGGCGCTGGGCTGGGCACAGTTAGCCACCCCGCTGGGAAGCGCCCAGCCCGGGCAGCTATCCGTTGGGCTCTGGGCCTTGGGCACGGGACCCTCTTCGGGAGCTGGTGTCCACACGGCCTCAGCAGGCAGCGGTGCCCGGCTGCCACTCGGGCAATCCCCCAAGAAGCGGGGTGTTTCGTGAGTGCCACCTCTGGGCTGGTGCTTCGGAACCGGGCAGACAGGGCCGTGGGCCGCCCTCTCGTCATCTGTGAAGTGGGCACAGCCACGGCACCTCCCTCGGTGGCTGCCCGTCAGGGGACAGGTGGTAACACACCCAGTGAAGTGCCCCAAACAGCGGCCAGTGCGTAGGACATCCCACAGCTACTGGGGGAGGGGACCCTATTACTGTTAGTGCTATTTTTGTTGTTGCTTGTGCCTTGGTTACTTTGTATCCACTGAAAGCAATGGTCGAGGCTATGGCTGGCTCTAGCCAGAGCCCTTGTCCCATTGTTCATTCACTCTGTGACCTCAGGACAGCCACACCACCTCTCTGAGCCTCAGTTTCCTCATCTGTAAAATGGGCAAGATAATAAACCCCGCCTCCTAGAGCCACCAAGTCGGCTAATACAAAGTGTGAAAGGGCCGCCACCAAATTGACCATCAGTACATGGTAGACTGAAGAGAGATTTTAAAGGATACTGCGTTTTTAATTTACTTTTTGTTTCATCGGTTCATTCGGTTCATTGCAAGCACTGGAAGTGCGATTGGTTTTTGTGTGTCAATCTTGGATTCTGTAACCTCGTGGAATCACGTAGTTCCAAGAGCCTCTCTTTTCAGACTCCTTGGGGTTTTCTGTGTAGAGCATAGTGTCACTTGCAAATAGGGCGTTTTATTCCTTCCTGTCCAATCTGATTTCTTTTTCTTGCCTTATCGCGCTGGCCGGGACCTTGCCGGTATCCCTGTCTTGCCTCTGATCTTCAGGGAGGTCATTTGGTCTCTCGCCACTAAATGATGTTAGCTGTGGGTTTCTATAGATCTCTTTGTTGGGTTGAAGAAGTTCTCACTGCTTTCCAGTCCCGGGAATTTTTTTTTTTTCCCTAATTTCAATAAGTGTAGTTTCTAAATAATCTGATGCCATATGCATACGCCATCTCATTAAAAAAAAATTTAAAATTAATTGTAAGATTGTGGTTAAATATATAACGTAAAATTTACCAATGAAGCATTTCTAAGTGCACAGGTTGGTGGCAAAAATCTTTTCACTGTGCGGAGCCACCGTCCCCGCCACCCGTCTCCAGAACTTTCTCATCTCCGTCCCCATTAAACACTCACTCCCCTCCCCTCCCCCAGCCCCGGGCTCCAACATCTACTCTCTGTCTCTATGGATGCGACTCCTCTGGGGACCTCATATGCCTGGAGTCGCACGGTATTTGTCCTTCTGTGTCTGGCTTATTTCACTGAGCATAACATCCTCAGCTCTGTCCATGTTACGGCCTGTGTCAGAATTTCTTTCCTTTTTTTTTTTTTTTTTTAATGCCATCTTCTTGTTAATTATCTCTAAAACCTCGAAATATTTCTCATCCACCTGCTGACCTGAAAACTCCCCAGCTGCTAGAGCTGCCTGGGACGGAAGCCACTAGCCACATGTGATTTTGCATTTAAATGAGCTAAATTGAAATGAAATATGCAGGACTTCCGTTGCACGGGTCACCTCTCAATACGCAATGGCCACAGGTGGCTGGTGGTGACCGACCATGGCCGTCATCACCGAAAGTTCTGCTGGGTCGAGCTGCTCTGAACGTCCCATGAAAACCCGGGTTAAAAAGGGAACAGACGACTCCCCCCGCCCCCTGCCACGTACGTAGACATCCAGCCCTAAAACGGACCACCCTTCGGCCTGGACAAGTGGACCCACAGTAGATGATGTCTAAAGGCCGGCCAATCTCCAGCACCCCAAGGTGCCCCAGGGCCCGAGCAGCAGCTTTCGGTTGCTGTGCTCTTAGGAGCTTTGTGACATCACCTGATCGAATCCGCCCAGCTCGGATGATGAGGCCGGTAAACTGAGGCCCAGCTCGCAGTATCCATTTCCCAAAGCCGATGTAAACTAGAAGTTGTCTGTCTCACATGGCAGCTCTTAACTGGGGCAGCTCTGCCCTCCAGGACACTGCGTCGACACCTGTGGCTGTCACCCCGGGGTGGGGGGGCTCCTGGCCTCGCGTGGGCGGGGCTGGGGAGGCTGCCCAGCACCCCGCAGTGTCTGGGACACCCTTGGGAAATGAGCCAGCCCCGATGTCAGCAGTGCTGAGGGGGACATACCCTGGTCTAGCTCCATTCTGGGTGAGGGTGAGAACTGGTTCTTGAAGGGACGGAGGAGGCTACAGAATCTCGCTCTTTTTATGTATGAAGCGTAGATATGTAGATATAGATACAATACACAAATAGGTTTGTAATAAACCGCTGATGTTAAAATTTCTTGGGGGGTACAGCAATTAGGGGAAAAATGTCTAAAAAAGGTTCTCTAGGGGGAGGCGATAATAATAATAATAATAATAAAAAAGGGTCTTGTACATTTCTAAAGGATTCTAAAAAGAGAACAGAGTACGTGACCCCCAGGCCTAAAACGTCTTCTCTCTGGCCCTTCGCTCTGCGTCTTTGGGGGAGCTCTCGTGTCTCCGAGCCCCATCTCACTCGCAGATCGGAGCCGAGCTGCGCTGCCACTGACTTCCTTGGGTCCCTCAGTGCCTCCTGAGCACCAAATGCTTGGGAAACTGGGAGACGCGGCAGTGACCGAGACAAACTCCCTGCCCCGGCCCTGACATCCGAATGTGGGGAGCAATGGGCGGCGAGCAAATAATCAAAGAAGCCAGGAGGACGACTTCAGGCCGTGCCAAGGGCAGGGGAGGCCACACACCCTGGAGGGGCCGGCGGCAGCCCCTGACGTGTGACAGGCTGGGCCTGGAGCTCCTGGGAGGCGCACGAAGTCACTGCCCAGGACTGTACATCCGACAGTTACCATTCAGTGAGTCATTCCTTTGCCGACGTGGGCAATAGAAGTTTCATTTCTATTGACTCATTTAAT